TACCTTATTACAATGCTCCCAGGTGCAGTTAAAATCTCGTCCACCACCAGGCGCCATGGTGAGGAAATGCAAATGCAGAATCAAAAGCTATTGAAAGGTGAGTCGCAAGAAGGATAGCGGGGAGTGGGCCGGCTAGCGATAGGAACACAGGGAGCAAACAACGGATTCCAGGAAGATATGAAGAGATGCAAATAAATGAAAACAAATCAAAAAAAGAAGCAGATAGTAAGTGACAGCAAGAACAAATAGATTTGCAATAAAGTATGAGCAGACAAACACGACAAGAAATCGTACAGGCGACAGAGGGGGGAGGAAGAAAACGGTTGGAAGTATGGCCCGTAGTAGTAAGAATAGCTATGGTGGAGGGAAAATAGGAGAGCGGGTGGGAGGGGAAAAGAAAGAAGAGGGAAGGAGGTCTGGACTAGCGGAGGGAGCAGGAATGTCACTGCAAATTAAGTCCGACGGCATGCAGCCTCGACAGTAATCATTGGAGGTCTGGACAGGCAGGTCGATTGGCAGCCAAGTCGCAGGACCGAATGATGGATCAAATGGGGAAGCGCAGTAGTGAAGGTGGATGGATGGAGGTGAGGCTGGCCCTGGAGGTCCAGCATAACCGACAGGGAGGTATTCCAGACGTACCTAGCAATGGATCTAACAATAATCCTGAAAATAATAATCCAGGACGAACACGCAGTGCGAAATCAAAACTAACAAGTGACGCGATGACGGAGAGGCGAAAGAGGGAGAGATGTAGAAGAGAAAGTGCAAAGCACGATCCCCAACGGATTTCTCAGATGTAGTTCAGTAGTAATACTGGTCGGTCCGGGCGAGGTTGCAACGTTTCTGTGATACAAGAGGCAGACAGACACAGACTGCTGCTTGCTGCGGGTCTCAGGCGGTTCTCCTTCCAGGTACGCAAGCCAGACCACCAAGTCAAGGGATGATGATGATGGCTGTTGGAGAAGGAGAAAATAAAATAAAAAATAAAAACAGGTCGAAGATGGGGGAGAGAAAAAGACGAGAAAGTCAAGAACACCTGCTCCAGATGGGGCAGATGGAAAAGAAATACTCGACGAGCCAGATGAGGAGGATTAGTTTACTGCACGAAGAGAGGTAAGAAAAAAAGAGCTAGCTGACTGGCCGATGGGATGGAAGCTCTTGTTCGTTTTTATTTTCCTCGTTTTGCCTCTCCGGCTCTCGTGAGCAGGCCGTGTAATTTTTATAACGCCGCATCGTTCTGGCTCTACCTAGTAGGTACCTAGCAGCTACTACGGGCTGCTAAGCTCCTTCACTACTGTCCAGCGGTAATCAAATAATAAATTGGAACCTCCTCTTGGTCTCCTCCAGCCGGTGGAGCTCCCCTCTAGCCAGTAACCCGGCCGGGCTAGCTTGAGACTTGGCCACTTTTTTCTTTCCTGTACCCCTACCCCTACCCCGGAAAGATCGGGTTATACTATGTTGAAGTATTTCCTTCGGACCACTTGGGGGATTTTCTTTCACCAGACCGAAATGGACACAAATGGAAATCAGAATAATACTAAAAGCAAAAACGAAAAGAAAAAAAGAAAAATCCCACACCCTACACAAAAGTGGAGGTGAAAGACGAAGAAGAAAAAGAAGGAGAAGAAATCAAAAGTCAACGCTTTTATTTTTATTTTTATTTTTATTTTCTTTTTGTTAAGTATTTCTTACCCCATCGTTTCTGAACATGGGTTTACCATGTTTACCCTACTACAATCTACCCTGGAGGTCAGGAGGGAAACACTCGGTATCAAACGAGGTATCCAAGTACTAGGTACATACATACTTACATACATACGGGCACCAAGTAGTGGCACTTAAATTAGGAATCTCTTTTAGACTGACTGACAGGCCAAGGCTATCTGGGTCCCGCTTGTCGATTCGATGTTCGGGAGGGAAAGAGAGGAGGGGGGGAGGGAGAAAGAGTGGAAGTTTGGAGCTAGCAACCCCCAGACAAAGTTACCCAAGACCCAAGGTTTCCCATCCTACTGAACCGTCTTCCGGTCAAGATGGCTTGGGGGAAGAGGGGAACACCGATCCCCACCCTGTCCGCTTGTGCCTTAGAACACTGAAAGGTTAGGATATAGACTCGACCAATCATCGGCGACCAAGAGAGAGCCTGGCCTTGGAAGAAATTTACTAGTCTAAACATGGTCTAGTTGCCTGCATCCTGGCTGCAAAACCTCGACGGACCGCTAGTATCGCTTACTGTATCAGGATTGTATCGACTATCTTTCGCGGGTCAAAATTACTGACAGGTACCTTGACACGTACGTCCCTGGTACCTTCCTCTTAGGTACTTCCACTAGGTAAGGGTAACCAGTGGTGGTAAGTAGGTGCCCGTCCATGTTTTCAAATTACTTTTTATTCTATTCCACTCACCCCAAGTCGATGGTGCTGGAAGAGGAGACGGTAGTCCGCCATATAACATTCTGGATAGAACCACGACCGAAGACAATTGCACGGCGCTCCAAAGGAGTCAGAGCTGAGGCGGATCACAGCATGGTCACGCCAATACAACAAGCAGTGTCTACGTATGGGATATTCTGTACGACAGTGAAAAGGGAGGTAGGAGTAGGTATGTGTAAGATGGAAGGTCTGATTAGGACGTGGGCTAACCGATGGAACTAACTTACTACTTCGTACCTACCCAGAATGATCATAATCTATTCCTACTCTCGTACTGACTCCAATTATGACTATTACTATGTACATTGTTGTTATTTATTTTTGTTTTTGTTTTTCTATTTTATTCATTTATTTCTTATTTCCATTGATTTATTTAGCTTTTCTCGCCAAGGTGCTGGGAAAGGATATCCCGTCAATCCTTGTACCAAGGTGGTAGGAGCCATGCCCTCCAAACAATTGTTGCTGGAATTAAGTTCCTGACGGCCCCTTCTTTACCCCCAAAAAATGATCATGATGCCGGCCGTCCAAAAGCATCAACGGATGGAAGAGACGGAAAGGGAATAAAAGAAAGAAAAGAAAAAAGTATTGAAAGCCAAATGGGACAAAGAACAATGTCAGACCAGCCGGCCGACCAGGCAGCACAGATCGGAAATTATCAGCAAGGGATACCAGCGATGCAACAACCGAAAAGTGTGGCTTTTCCCTTCTGGGCCGGCAGGCATCATGCTGAAACTGGCCCAGAGCAGCAGCTATCCCCAGGGTCTGCTATCGGCCTCACTCCAAACCACAATCGTCCTACTCACCTTACCTACTTAGGCAGTAGGTCTCCTACTGGCAGTGGCCATGATACCTTCATCCGTTGCTATTGGACGTACTTCTGGGCTATCTTTCTTGGGAGAAACAACGAGGACAACGCCCCCAACGCCACGATATTCTCGGTGGCTCTGCGATGCGGCTATTCTACCGATTCGATTGCTGGATGACAGCCAGCCGTAAACTCAAAGGGAGCGATTCATCAAGCCTCTATCAGCTGTTTTGAGTGATATTGACGCCTTTGTTCACTCCACGTGGCGGCTTCAAGAAATTCATCTGGATCGCGGTCTGTAATGCTCCATCAGTGATGGGGCCCCGACAAGGGACCAGCGGGATTCACTCGTCGTCCCGTTCCCCCTCCTTCCGCCCGTCCATGGCAATATTAATTATTAATATGATACGATGGCAGTCAAGGCCATCGGAGCCAATTAAGCTCATGACGATCAGTTGATTTCTCTAAGGCTGGAGCTAAGAGACTGGCGCCAATGCTGTCTGTTCGTCATTGATAGCGAACTATAGGGGCTGCCTACATTCCTATTGATTTGGCCGACTGAACAAGCTCGGGATACACTTCCTCGATAGAATCAGCGGGTGATACATGGATAGATCTTCCATTTACTTTAACCAGGCTCACGGACTGCCGTGAGGCTTCGAACTGTAAGTCGACTAGCACCAGTGGATCTCGAATAGTGGCAGCGGGTCGAACCCATGGAACAGGCAGGCCAAAACAATCGCCGCCCGCTTGTTACCAGCAGAGGCCGTTTAATACGCTTACTTAGACTTTGGCCATTCATGGTTTGGACCCTGGAAGCCCGAGACCCATCGCACTTGAAGAGCGGCTAGATACGTACGACATACACGCGAAGATAGCGATTAACAGTCGATAGTGTCTATAGCACGCACTCGATAGATCATCGTCTGCACACGATAGAGTTTTGTCTGGAAGACCTTCCAGCAAATCGCGGGCTTTGGTCTGCCCGTCGACTCTTCAATTTCCGTCTGTCATCTGGGAGGGGTTTTTTCGGGGTTTGCACGACCGGGATCTCCGAATTGTTATGGAGCTTATACCACACTAGGCTATTGAGCCACCACTCTGAGTCAGGCACAATCATTTAGAAGACTACGGACACCGCCTATGGCCAGCCCAGCGGATGCCAAGGGGGCCGTTTCGATCGGGAATTGGCTACCAAGAAATGTACGAGGGGGCAGTATTCGACTGGTAGGGTGTGCCTCCGTCGATGCTCGTATTGCTTTTTCCTTTAGGTTTCCTCGTCCGGGTGGCACTTCTTGGTTCCAGTTGACTCCCGTAGTGGCGCCATAGGCTTATACTCACTAACATCCGCACCAGTCCATGAGCTAAGCCAGCAGGATTATGACTAACTTACTAAACGCGAGTCATCTGAGACTGGGGCAATCCACCAGCAATGACTTGGTCGTCAGCACACAGGGGGGCAGGGCAGATAGGCGTACGTGTAAGCAATCGTGTGTAGTTCCCCGCCCCAACAGGAATTTATGCTAACCGATCCGGTGCTGGCGAGGTGAGCCCAAGCCGAGCCATGGAGGGGGGTTGCTCATCCCGTTATCATCCGCGATTTTCTGGTTTGATCTGATATGACACTAACTATGAGGCAGACAGCGTGCCAACTAGCGACGGGGGTGATTTTTGCGAGTACCCTGCTCGCTATCACGAGGCCGAGGAATTGAATAGATTACAGATGGGCTGGTAATCTACTTGGCCCCTACATGTACCGGGTACATCCACGCAATGCAACGGACAGGGAGGCCTGACTTTGTGACGGTATCGCCGAAGGAGCCGTCGAGAAGATGAGCTAGTGGCGGCACCCCCCATATTCCCGGTATACAGGAAGTAGGGTTATCTACATTATAGTCTGGTGCCACCACAGATACATGACAGCTCCTCCAGGTCGACCGGCACCCAGAACCTTACTGGACAGACCCGTCAATGAAAGCCCAAAGCTGACAGCTGGTCGCATCACTGGCAATGCGGGAGTGACGCCAGGGCTTGCACCATGCTGTAAGTCGCCGATCCTTAAGACCCAAAGGCTGTAGACGGGCTAATGGCGTGACTTGCATGTGGTCAAATGGGCGAAAAGATAGAAGAGTCTACTCTAGCACCCGGCCGGGGGAAAATTGGCCAACGGCGAGGGGAAGAGGGAGGGGGAGAATGGAATTGGGGGGGAGGAATGGACGAAACAACAAATCAGCAAGGGACCGGCAATGGATTGACAAGACGAGGGGTAAAAGTGATAAAGAAAGAAAGCAAAAGCGAGGCCGGAAAAGGCAATTTTCGCATAAGGTGATTGACCTTGATTTGCCATGAGAGATGGACACTGCTTCTCCGCTTTTTGGGAAGATCTCCCCGGTCAACTGGCGTGGCAGCTAACGAACGGGAAAGGAGGGGAAAAAGATCCGGCCTCGAGGGTGTGGAGGAGAAAAGAGGGAAGGCATTCGTGCCATACGGACTGGCATGCAGTTGAATCCGTCAACCAGATCGGGGAACGAGGATAGAGGAGGAGGAGGATGATGATGATGACGATGACGTCGACCAGCTTACAGTCTCCCCCATCAACCTGAGACAACAGCTTCCGTTAGCATTGGGGAAAGGAATCCCAGGCACCTGGTCGGTGGTTCATCCGCCGCGGTAAACCCGTAGTCGCAGACCGGCGGCATCATGTGTCGAAGCGGCTTCTCCTCGCTGGGAACTGAAATTGAACCCCTTGTCCCCGGTCGCAATTGACGTAATGGCAGTAGAGCAGACACATGGTTAACCGAGCTCGACCGAAATTGAGTGGTGGGTTGCTTGTTCCCACCAGGGGTTGGGATATGTGACTCGTGATTCGTGATTCGTGATTCGTGATGCGTAAGCTGGATGAGGGAAGGGGACGAAACAAAAGATGGGAGGGAGGAGATGAATGAGGTGGGGGTTGAAAGTTGTGGGCAGTGCGTTCAGGAATGGAATTCATGCATGGCCACGCTACAACTAGTTTAACTTACTTACTAACTAACTAACCAACTAATCAACCAGACTCAATCAACCAGACTCTAAGACAAAGATTGGCTGGGGGAAAGAAGGGTTGGTTAGTTTGTAGTATGAAGCGAGAGGAGAAAGCAACTCCGACGTGATACACCAGGATGGTTACAAGTCTGGTGAAGTTGATTGAATGATAGTATATCCCGAATAAGGCTGGGCTGTCAGACAGAAGGACCAAAAAAAGAAATGAGTAGTAGTAGTAGTAGTAGTAACTAGTAACTAGTAACAACACACTTCCTGGTAACCCCTAGTAATGAACATCCCGGTCTAGTGTTGATGCTGGCAAAGAGGGAAACCGGACGGGTGTCAGATGGTCGGGAGGAGATTGAAGGGGAAATGAAATCCTCCAGCCTTGACTCGCTCTCCATCGGGAGCTGCTGCTGGTTGCCTCGTCCTTTTCCTTTTCTACATACCCCGCATTGGGGGAAGATTGTCGCTCGGGAGCATCTTTAGCAAGTCTTTAGCACCGTCTGTCACACGCAGCTTCATTCCTGCCTTCATCATCATCACTACTACTACTTACCATCAACCTCGTTTTTATTTTCATTGTGGATGATCCGGAGTAGTGTCATCCCGGCTCGTGGTCTACGTAGTACTAGTATACTAGTCTACGGAGAGAGGACTAGTCACCGACACTTGCTGGGAATCGCACACTGCATTAGAAAGAGCAGTGGTATGTAACCTTCATCTACTACACTACTATAAAATATACTACTGTTCTACTAGTATATTTAGCAAGGCAGGACTACTCTCGACTTAGCTCCCTCACTAATTCTGTCTAATATCCCTTCTCCTCCACTCATTGCTCATTGCTGCCCATCCGCCTCAGGGCCAAGAAAATCAATCGCCCATCCTCCGTCCGTCAGTGTCTCAGTATACTCTACAAAAAGTGTCGACTTCGGACTTCTCTAGCCCTATCTCCGTCACCGCTGCCTGGTTATCAACTGGGCAAAGGGGAGGGGCGACATGGATGACGCGCAGTAGCAGTAGCCGTGAACAGTTGGGCGCTAATTCCGGCCGGGTGGATGTCGGAAAGAAATTCCAGCTCATCAAATCCAAAATTTCGCTGGTGGACTGGCGGAGCTTCGATTTGTCCAACCCTTTTTTCTTGTGTTGCGCCGGTGTTTTAGCGGGCCCATCCGTATACTCCGCTTCCCCATATGAGCGACCGACTAGATTGGACTAATCCATTGCTCACTAACGACTCTCTATCTGCTCAAAGCATGATGCGCAACGGAGCTATACGCGATGTCGCACCAGGGCATTGCATCCGGCCGCTAGACTACTCCCAACTTACTACTAACCACGACTAACCTAGCTAACTAACTAACCAGGTCGATAGATTACTTAGCCACTAGCCTACTCACCACTAACCTGTTCTTTCCCTGACGATGCTAGACATACATGCGTTCGGCATCTCGGACGATAGGCATCCAATTGCCCAGAAAAATCTCCGATGTGCATACATAACTCCCAATCCCAAGAAAGCAGCGCGCCTGGTCAACGCAAGCTCTGGCCACGCATGCTTTCTGCCAGTGGCCTGCCTGCTCAAACGGCTGCTCTCGGCTCGGCTTCATGGAGGGGGATTAATTTCAATCGCGACATTTTCCAAGCGAATCGCAACCGTAGCTGCCACAGGCGCAGATGATGATTGCACGACCATGTTAGCCTTACGAGATAGCCAAGAACCGGGCAGCGACTCGATCAGCCGGCTTTCATTAACGATGCTGGTTTACTCATGGCTCACCCTCCTTTATTATTTCTGTTGTCTCTTCACCCACACACCCTCCTTCCTTCCCGCGGGCCACCGCTACTATACGGAAGCATCACTAGTCTACTAACATCCATCCATCCACCCCGGTCCCTCGTAAGCCTGAAATAACCCAATAAGTCGGTGAGTGCTCGTCACTGGGCCACTTCATTCCCCTCCTTCCTAGAGGTGCTTTTTTATTTTCTGGCCAAGAATAGTTCTTGCTTCCCCTCCAAGTTATCCCGTTAGCAGCGCGCCGGGTAAGCGTGGATTTTCCTGGGCGCGTCTTTCTACCCACCCCCCTTGCAGGTCCCCGGCTTCGATACGGTCTGGATTCTGGAATAGGCTACTGCAGAGGCTGCTGTGGATGGATGGAATCGACAGCCTGATATGAGAGAAATTAAATGGAGATATCCCAGATTCTGATCAATCGGCGTTGCTACTGCATTGGTTCGCTTGCAGAGATCGCGCGTCTCCTATCAACATCAGCCCTGAATAACAGTCGTTCTTTTGCTAATTCCGGCATTGCCTCCCTTTCCACTTTGTCTATGCAGTCGCGACTTTGATTGGTCATAGACGGCTGGTAGATTCTACCGAGCTCAGTTGACGATCTGATTGAACCTTTTTCCACCCCCAAACTTTAATGACAGGGTGCAGCTGTTCGGGCGTGGCTGTGTCTCATCCTGGTCAAAACAACCCCATAATCCACACTATGACAGGCTGGGCAAACCCCATGTGAGCTCGTTTACAGAGGTCTGGGTTCGATAGGTCCGCTGCTTGTTCTTGTTTGCTAAGCAAATCAAAATAATAACGAAGGGGGGGAGGGAGGCGTGTGGTGCTGACGGGCTGACCCCGATTTGGTGAAAATGGTCGGGCTATTCCTTCGCGTCTTGACGCCTCGCCTGTCAGATTCGGAACTAGTTTAGCTGGTGGCGCTGTCACTGTCTCTCCAGACTCGCAGACTCGCAAACCCGCGCTGGTTGCCCTTTTCGAGTGTTCTGGATGGACGCCCCCGCGTCTGAATTAGTAGCTGCTTATATCAGACTGTCCATATAGCTCAAGCTCATAGCCCCATTCAGACTACAGTAGTAGTTATCTATTCATCTTATCGCTCGTCGCTAGCTAGCTTGCTTACTGCTTACCAATGCTCAGATATCAAACTGTAACTACGTAGTAAATCTGACCACGCTTCACCTACATTAATAGAAAAAAGTATACTCGAGCCTCATCACCACCACCACCACCACCACCACATCACCATCTCTCTGTATCTTCAATGAACAACCTCCCTTCCAACACATTCTCTCCCCATTCCATGCATCAACCTCATCTGCACAAACCACATCCCGAACAAACCTTACCTACCTACCTACCAAATCCCGAACACACACACACTATAATATATGCATGCATACCAACTTCTCCTGTTCGCCATGTTATGTACTCTCTAACTTAAACTTTGACAGGCACCTGGGAGGCGTCTAGCCCCCTTCAGCCAGCCAGCCATTTATGCCTCAACTTGACTTCATTATGTAAATTTAAAATCATGTTGATGCATCTCTGCCTACTTTCCAAGTCCGCTCCTAATATAGATAGATCTAGACGTGTATCAGTGTCAGGCAGCGACGAGGCAATCTAGTAGTAGGTTTTCAGCTAGCCCTATATGTATATGTATGTGGATGTGGATGTGGTCGTCGTAAGTAGGTAAATAGGTATGGTATGTGAGAGAGATAGATATATGATGTGGGTGCGTACTGTTGGGTTGATGATGCATTTGTTTTGCCACTGATGGTGGATCAGTTTGGTAGTACTTTGATTTTTACAAATTGATACTTACTTACTCTTTACTAAAATTGATTTTGGGTATCCATCCAGTCGCTTCATTCGATACTTAGTGGTATGTATGTGCAGTATATGCATAGTGGCAAAGATCATGATCATGTTGTATTATGATATGAGTAAGACCAGCACATCATATCACATCACATTCTAACTAACTAACTGTTTTTTGTTATCTAAAACATAGAACCACTCACTCACTCGTTAACACTAATTATAGTTTAAGCTTTCTCGACCATCCTATTTTGTAGTATGGTTATGTGGCGATGATGGATGGATGGTCGGGTGTGAAAGAGCCGCATGATGATGATGACGATGCTGATAACTTATCGCCTAGTATCGTCGTGTGTATGTGTGTGTGCATAAGAATAAACTTCAACCTCGTAGGATGGATATATCAGATGAAGAGGAGGGTATACGAGGTGACAGGGGGCTTGGTTGATGGGGTCGTCTGAGGTCGATTGGATTTAGGTTTGGGAGGAATAGATGGTAAGTTGTGGGTGTGTGTGTGAGTGGTGAGGCTTGTAGGCGTAAGCTGTGTGTTTCATGATAGGATTTATCTGGTGGGTTTTGGTCATGAGGGTGGGTGAGTGGATCTGTAGAAGTAGATGTAGAAGTATATACCAGTATAGTAAGTGACGGATTGGAGGTAGATTGGTTTGAGGAGGTGGGTATTTAGTTGTTCTTACAGAAGTTTACTTTCATATGTATATTGCAATCAACTTTGATATGTTATGTGTATTGTGTAACTGTTAACGATGATATAAGCATCCAATTGTATACTAGATTGGGTATGTCGTGAAGCTATTCAGACCATACATATGCTATATAGTGACCACTATGAGACGGGGAGTAGCATTGATACAGATCGCCCACCATTAACCTCCCCAACTATACTCCCATATATCATCTTTACTATCATGATCTCTCCTCTCCACTTTAAGTAAAAATCAACATGATGCTCCCCACAACGTACCTGAATACATTCATATCACATGACCCAGTCCCTATCAGCCCCTTATGTAATCACCCCTTATCGGAGATTTATACAATCCCCAATTAATCCTCAACTATCCAGCACCAGCTTCACCTCCAACCCGGCCCAATTCCCTGCAACCCACCAAAAGTAGGCCCATCACAATGGCCGAACCACCACAGCATGACCTAGACAACCAATTCTACGTGCTAGTCACCGGCGCAAACAGGTACCCATCCCTCAATTGCACCCTCCCAACCCTACACACCACCCACCCACCAGCACACCCCTTCAGACCTCCCTCCCCCCCAAAACAACCTCACAATCAATCTAACAAGCCAATTCCACCAGCGGCCTCGGCCTCGCCATCTGCGCACGTCTAATAAACACCTTCCTCACAACCCACCCACCCACCACCCACCTAACCATAATCTTCACCACCCGAAGCGCCAAAAAAGCCTCCTCGACCCTGCACCACCTCCAAACCCTCCTCCCCCCCATCTCCTCCCCGACCACATCCAGCAGAATAACCCTCCACCCGGAAACCGTGGACCTGTCCTCCCTGCCCTCCGTCCGCGCGCTCTCCACCCGCCTCACCCAAACCCTCCCAAAACTCGACTCCATCGTCCTCAACGCCGGCATCGGCGGATGGACAGGAATCGACTGGCCCCGCGCAATCTGGGGGACTCTGACCGACCTCGTGCACAACGTCTCATGGTTCGCGCACAAGATCGCGCCCGTGGGGATGATCACCCCGCCTCAAACCACATCACCAGATGAGCCGCGACTGGGAAGCGTCTTCGCGGCGAACGTATTCGGTCACTACATGCTCTCGCATGGCGTCATGGGCCTACTCCGGAAATCCACGCAGCCGGGGCGCGTCATCTGGGTCTCGAGTATCGAGGCCACCCTGAATCATTTTAATGTGGAGGATATTCAGGGATTGAGATCGACTGTGCCGTATGAGAGTTCCAAGACGCTTACGGATATTCTTGCCCTCACGGCGGAGTCGGAGGGGAGTAGGAAGTGGGTGGAGGGGTTCTACAACACCCCTCACAAGGGAGGTGATGATCATGTGGATGAGAAGGGTGGTGAAAGGGAGGGCAACAAGGAGCCACGCATGTATCTCTCGCACCCTGGCGTGTGTGGAACGGGGATCCTCCCGTTGGCGTTGCCGCTGTTCTGGTGCATGATCGCGTCGTTTTATATTGCCCGGTTGCTGGGGTCGCCGTGGCATACGCTGTCGACGTATGCGGGGGCGTGTGCGCCGACGTGGTTGGCTATCAGTCGGCAGGAGGAGCTGGATGCTGCGGAGGAGGTGTATCGGGCTCATGGTGGCGGGAAGGTGAAATGGGGGTCGTCGTGTGATCGGTTGGGGAGGGATAAGGCGGTTTCAACGGAGGTGGATGGTTGGGGTCATGGGGGTGTGGTTGGGGAGGCGGTGGTGATGGAGGATCGGTGTCGGAGGAGGAAGCGTGGAGCGAGGGATTTGACGGCGGAGGAGAAGATCGAATTTGAGGAGTTGGGGAGGAAGTGTTGGCAGGGGATGGAGGAGCTGAGGGTACAGTGGGAGGAGATCTTGAAGAGGGAGGAGGGTGCTGCCACAGCTTAAGTTTTGTGGAATAATGTGGTGCATGGGTTCGGGCATATTGCGTGTTGCATCTGCATCTGTATAACTGCATCTATAATAGAGGAATAGAGTAATAGAGATAATAAGATTGTTTTTCTGATCCTGCCTCCCGTATTTACATTCCTTTAACCATGTCCACATACGTCATTAAAATCAGATAGAGTATTAGTCCATGTGCTCACCATCCCCCGGGGAAACAAGGTAGCAGAAGAAAAAGCCGGTAAATAAAAGAAGCAACAGCACTGGTGACACGCAGTCCGTCGGAGAAAGATGCGGGAGAACAAGGTAAGAGATCAGAGACCTCGGGATAGATTATAAGGGATGTAAGGATGACCCGAATCAGACACGCTTCTACCATCAAGGCCTCTAGCATGCGGACACGGACGAGCACAAGACGAAGGTAATAATGGATGGGTGCGAGTGGGAGATGGTTCAGAGGCGTAGACCGCATTGTATCCAAGCAGCGTCCTGTTGTCTAGAACCCCCTCTGGGTTCTACACTGCTCGAAAGAGAAAGACACGATCAACTCCGGTTTCTATGCATCTGGTGACTTCAGTGTAGGTGGTGTATATCGAAGGTGAAGGGCATGTCGACGTGACAAAAAGGATTACATGATGATAGCAGGAACTAAAGATTTGAATTAGCAATGAGCCATGTGAATGTAGACAATTGACTCACCATCAACGTTCTGCTTGATGCTCTTGTGGGGCAAGATGGAACCACCGTTGACATAGACTTCGTCGGCGATGGTGACATCGTCACCCAGCACCGTAACGTTCTCCAGACGAGCCCAGCGGCCCACGGAGCTGTTCCATCCAACAATGGTCGACTTGACCCACGCGTGGTCCTTGACCTTGCTGTTCTCCATCAGGACACAGCGCTGCAGACGCACACCGTCACCAACCACCACATTGGGTCCAATCACCACGTTGGGGCCGATGCGG